GTTTAAAATGTATTAGCATATTTAGGAACAGTAACTAATTGAAGCCAAACTCCAGCTCACAGTATAAAATCAATTACAGCAATTTTTTTTTCTTTTAGGATAAAGGTTTTACATTAATAAATACAAGCTGATCATTGTAACCACCCCTGCCAGTGTTAAATGGTCCATCTTTTCCTGTAAATGGATACATTCTGCAGGAGAGTTTGAGCTTTTATAAAGCAACAGATTTGCTGGCCAGATCACCAGATGAAAGCCTAATAAAGAAAATGAATGCAGCCATCACATCTACAATGTTTGCTTTTGAGTTTAATACCACTTTAAAACTGCTGTCAGGTTATTTTCTTGCTGTTTATGTACCAGAGGAAATCTCCTGTAGCACTATCCCTTAGGAGTTGCTGAAGAATTGGGTCTCCCTATAGCCCTATAGTCTATTCAGACTTGCATCAGGAAACAGGAAACCAGTCCTTGAGTTTTATTCTGAAGTTTTATTAGGGATGTAGAACTTGGATGGAGTAAGGGGTATATGGGATGCCAAAGGGAATAGCAACAGAGGAAAAAACTTCCTGAACTATATTACAAGTCCCAAAGTCAGAACTTCTCTTCTAGGAGAACTCTTCAGCCTCTCCTGGTGTACCACCCCAGACCCCTGATAAATACTCTTCTTTATCTGTCTGGAGGAATCCCTGGGCAATGGAATCCAAAGCTGCCACTTGAAATGTAATAGCCCCAAGTGTAAAGCTGGTCAGGTTCCCCACCTAAATTCTCTCTCTCCTTTCTGGCCCAGGGGGTATAGGAACACTCACTGAGTCCTTTTCCTGTGCTGCTGTTGGGTGGGTGGCTGCTACTATACCTGTCAGCTGGGCCGCTCCTTCCCTGCTGCCAGGTGGTCCCTCTGCCTGCAGGCAAGCCCCTTCTGGATTTCCTTTCACCATATCTCTTAATGTCAATAGTCATCAGGATAAAGAGAGTGGCGAATCTCTGCAATGGGTCCAAAAAGCTTGATAGAGCTCTGATAGATGTGCAGTTGACCAGGAGATTTTGTTAAAAACATTATTCACTGCAAGGACTTTGAACTATGGCCCGCACAGTGTAGTCATAGTATTACGTGTTGGAAGCTGCTGTAGGCAAAAATTAGGCAAAGCTGACAAACTGCATAGGGAGAGAATATGGTCAGTTAGGAAAATGGACTTTAATTCTGATAACGAAGTCTTTAGGCAATCAACCTCTTTGCTGTTTTTTCTTATTGGTATGGATTTATTTGTCTTTAATTGAATTTGTCAGTGGTTACTTTTAGCTGCTGTCCCAGCCATAGCATTTTTTTCTTTGCTTCAAGTCTACCTTTTAAAAAAATGGGCCTTTGCCTTTGTTTTGGGGTGGGGGGGTATTTTGGGATATTCATTTACTTTGAAGCTATATTGATGTTGACAGAGCCATTACTTTAGGTTAGGTCTCATGTGCACTGGGGATTTTCTATATACACATTTCCAGGCACTGGAATACGCGGCTCCTTTAAGGTTCTTATTAGTTCAAGCAACTAATATGACTTACATAAAAGAAGAGCTCCCATAGTATAGTAAATAAATGAAAACCAGCCAATTTACTAGTCAAATTGTATTCACAAACAATGCACTGTATGCAAATGTGCTGTAAACCATAAGAAAACCATATACCAGACTTCCTTATGTGTCACTTCCGGCCACATGTCTATTGCTCTCGCCCTGTGTGTTAAGTCACAGCCACATGACTTCATCAGGGGGAAAAAGCAGGTAGACACCATGTCCTTACATGGTGTACACTATTCAATCATAATGGAGTGGCGGCCATTTTGTTATAGCCAATAGAATGTTTACATGTGTCCACCATTTTCCTGAGGATATATTGAAACCACTAAAGAAAACTGGATATAGCAGCCATTTATAAAAAAGGAATTACCTAGATGGATCGGCCATTTTCCCTAAGGATTGTTGAAATGAATTGCGGCCATTTTCTCGAAGAGAAGACAAACTGAGGGTTACTTGCCATATTCTTGGGGTCAATGTATACACATATGTAGTGACCAGGTTCCCAAATTAAGTTTAACCCTTTGTTAAATATGCTGTTACCTCGTATAACTAAATTGGACTAAAATTATAAAACAGCCTACAATAATGTGTATAATAAATGCCAGTGATATACATAAAAATCTCAGCTCAAATATATATATATATATATATATATATATATATATATATATATATATATATATATATATATACACAGTGCTAAGAATAAATGAGTAAATAAGTACACCCCTTTTGAAAAGTAAGATTTTAATCAATATCTGAACACAAGAACAATTTCTGAATATTTTGACAAAACCGAGGTTTATAGAACATTTGTTTAGCTCATTACATGAAAGTAAGGTTAATAATATAACTTGGATTAAAAAATCTTTTGTCCCCAGTGAGCAAAGTAAAACCATTAAAGAGTAAGGCTTTCTCACTTTGGGACCTCGAAAGCTGATGACCAGATCCAATTCTAAGGCAAGAAAAGAGCTTGTTAATTAGGATGGCTAATGTCCCTTTTGCTGCAAAGGAAGATCTTCTGCGTGCTTGTTGGGGCCTAGTTGGTGCACTACAAGAATTCAGATCTTCTGGTCAGAAACACTTATTGACAAGGGGTTAATTCCTCTCCAGGCCTCAGTAGGAAATGGCAACAATGAAAAGTGTCCCTTGATGGATGTAAACCAATTACAGAAGAAATAATGATGTGGCTTAGCCCACAGAGGGCGGACACTGCAGTGGGCTCTGATGAATTCATTATGCTGGAGATGTGTTTGCTAATAGGCAGGATAAACTAGGCCTCAGCTTGTGTAACTTGTGAACAATGTCAGTAATTAGACCCAGAGTGGCTGATTCAGTAGAATATCAGTGGCTGGAGAGTGGGACTCTGTCACCCAATCTGTAGCACCATACAGTCACTGGTGGTAGATGGGGGACCCCAGCAGTCCTGTGGTTCCTCCTGTAGAGTTCAGTAGTGGCTGCGGCACTCCAGGTCACCAGCCGACAGGGTAGTTCTCCAGATTCTTTGGCAATGTCAGTGGTTAGCTGTTCCTACATCTTTCCCCTCTCTCTCTCTGAGGCCTGGTCCGGACCTTTGTCATTCCACACAGCCCTCTCCTCACACTGTCCTTCCAGCTCTCTCCAAGCTCACTTCCTGCCTCTGTTCCCATGTTTCTACATTTATATATCTCTACCCACATGCCAGCTCACCTGGTAAAAGCAATCCCCAAATTCACTGCCTTCTAACAGAGTCCCGCGGTTCAGCCTACAACATCCATAAAGCTTTTCACCAGGTTGTGTGCCACTGAGTTGCAGGACACTGCCACCTTGTGTTTCTTTTAACATCCTGCAGTCTGAATATTGTCAGGGTGTTACATACAGAATAACATAACATGTTATATATGTTTGTATTGTGTCCAATGAGGGGAGAGAATCAGAAAAAAAAAAAACAAAAAAAAAACAGAAAAAGGGGATGAGAGAAAGGAAAGAATTGAGGCATTGGACTGGATCTGAAATAAGTACTTATTTCTATATCTGGCAGTGCAACAACACCATTTATATTATTTAAAACACTTACTATGCTGTATGTAATACTGTAGTTTCATGTATCAAGCCATATATATTTCATGACACAATTTCTACTAAATTTAATGTCAGTTGTATGATTGGAAGTCTACTGATTTTTACATTCTCAATGGTAAGAAAAGAAGTTAGCAGGAAACGTATTATATGCATGTGCCTAACTATAGGCATTACTAGATTGAAGCAATTAGTTATTCAACCTCTAGTACAGCAAGAAAATGAACGGCGGGAACTCTAAGGATGCCCACTACATGCTTCCTGAAACCCAAGACAAAAGGGCTTATTTAGTAAATGTTTAATAGACGTACCTAGATACACATGACTTTCCTGTGATCTCCAGCAATAGGTGGCCACTGAAAAGTTTAAACCAGAACTTGTGGATTTAAACATCATGCTACAGCAAGTGGTGACCTTCTAAGGGAATGAGAGCATGGATGACTAGGACATCATATGTTATGTTATGAAAATTAAAAATTTAATGAATTGCCCCGACTCATCAGTTTATAATTCCTAGTACATACTAGAACTTAGTGAATCATCTGATTTGATATATATTGTATTTAAAAAAATACAGATTCAGTGCCTGTTGGTGATAATGGTGCAGGCACCATTTCTCTGTATTGCTCTCAGCCAGACCCACAATGTAACCAGGTGTCAGATACCCTTGTGCATCCAGCAGATCTGTCTCCAAAATAGATAGGTGGCATCCCATAGTTTGTTGGAAGCACTTTCACAACTAAACCCAGTAATTCATTATATGTAGCGCTGCCCCCTTAGGAGCCGCTGGTTAAGATTAGAGATGAGCGAATTATTCAAAAATTTGGTTCGGCTGATTCGCCGAATTCGCGGAAAAAATTCGCTTCGAGCCGAATATATTCGCTGCGAATTTAACTTATAAAAAGGGTGTTTCTAGGCTTCAGAGAGCCTTTATATTAGTGCAGAACACTGTACCTTTAATTTAAATGCCCTTGGAGTCTGCTGGGGAAGAGAAATAATACTGTCAGTCAGTATGACATGCAGATGAGTGCCGTCGATCTTAGAATCACCGCACACTTCACTCATTTGGGCAGTCACGGGGCCAAAACCAGAGTGTGGAGCCACAGTGTGGCAGTGGAGGCAGCAGCAATGGGAGGCCATACAGCACCCTATGACAAAATGGAACCCACCAGCAGTGTGAGGAGACCTGAAAGTGGCACATGGCAGAGTGTGGCGATGGAGACAGCAGCAATGGGAGGCCGTACAGGGACCCATGACACACTCTGGACCTGGCAGCAGCATGAGGAGGCGGTACAGGGGCCCATGACAGATTACGGGCCTGGCAGCAGCATGAGGAATCGGTACGGGGGCCCATGGCAGATTACGGGACTGGCAGCAGCATGAGGAGGCGGTACAGGGGCCCATGGCAGAGTGGCGGAGCGTAAGCAGCTAAAATTGAAGGCCATACAGAGGCCTATGTTAAAATGTCCCCCCAGCAGCAGCGTGGGAGACGACTATCAAGAGTCCAATGGCAGAGTGGCGGAGCAGAAGCAGCTTCAATTGAAGGCCATACACAGGCCTAGGTTAAAAAGCGGAAGCCGTCAGCAGCGTGAGCAGACGACAGAGACACATGGCGCAGGGTGGAGGTGGATGCAGCAGTATTTCGGAAGCCAAACACAGGCCTCGGTAAAAAGCGGAAGCCGTCAGCAGCGTGAGCAGACGACAGAGGCACATGGCGCAGTGTGGCGGTGGAGGCAGCAGCAATGGAAGGCCATACAGCACCCTATCACAAAATGGAACCCACCAACAGTGTAAGGAGACCTGAAAGTGGCACATGGCGCAGGGTGGCGGTGGAGGCAGCAGTATTCGGAAGCCCCCCCCATACACAGGCCTAGGTTAAAAAGCGGAAGCCGTCAGCAGCGTGAGCAGACGACAGAGGCACATGGCGCAGGGTGGCGGTAGAGGCAGCAGCAATGGAAGGCCCATACAGCACCTATCCACAAAATGGAACCCACTAACAGTGTTAGGAGACCCATGAAAGTGGCACTTGCGCAGGGTGGCGGTGG